TCCACGCCCCTCCTTGGGCGACATCTCTTTGCTGAGACAGATCACAGAACTTGGGAACACACTTGTACGTATAGGCCAACTACAAAGGCAAAGAGGAAGAACCAGGCAAGCGAGGAGGCAGAAAGCCCTGTGCCCAGCTGGGCTCTCCATCCTCCTCTGTCCCCCAGTGTCCAGCCTGTGGCAGCTTCCCTGACCCAGGCCTTGGACTCCTTACAAAGATCACATGAGGCAGCTCTCACTGGTGAGTCAAAGGCTGTGGGTGATCAGTGTGACTTTCAGCCCCTTGGTCTTCCTTGGTTCCACAGACGGGATTTTTAAGGGTTGGAGATCCTATTCCTCACTCACACTCAGAGACCCTCTCACCCCTGTGGAGACCCGCCGGGCCGGGTTCAGGAGCTGTGAGCCAGAGGTATGGAGACTAACTAGGTACTTTGAGTCCATCTCAGCATCAAACCCCCATTTCGTGGATGGGGACATTGAGGCCCGAGGAGATCAGTGTTCATTCTCCAGAGCCACCCACACCCTCCAGGGTGCTGCCGTCCTCAGGGTTCCTCCTCAGGGTCCTGCTGGCTCACATGCACTGCACTATTTTTCAGCTGGGTGAGGGTGAGGTTCTGGGCTGGACAGTTTGTCCCAGGCAGGGAGCCAGCTTAAAGCCCCTGGGAACAGCACAGCCCTATTTCTTGAGGGCAGACTGTGCCTTGACCCTGACCAGCTGTCCCCTCTCCATCTGGAGTGAGTAGTTAGTGGGTACAGAGTGTGTATCGACTACCTCAGAGTGGATGGCGCCCTCTGGCCAGGCTCTGTGTTATCCCAGATGCCGCACTGATCAGATATGGGGGCCCCGAGCTCCCTCCTCTCCATCCCTTTCCCAGATATCTGGCCTTGAACAAGTCTCCTCATCCAGTGTCTCAGAGGATGGCTGCAGTACCATCGGGGCTGAGGTGAATGTCAGATGAGGAAATGGCCTCAGTTTCCCTTTGGGCTCAGTCCTGCCTCTGCCTCCACCTCTGTCAGGATCACGCTCAAAGCTTTGTCCCTTCACAGGACTGATGGCTGCAGAAGGAAAGGTTTGCTATGCATTATAATGCTGAAAACTGGCCCCCAAGGTCTGCTTGCCCCCGGGGACAAGGAGATCCTCACACATACCCAAAAATGCTCTGTAACCTTGTTCCTTGAATAAAGATGTCAACAGCCTGCAGAAGAGAGGTAGGCGGGGCTTCCGTTCCCAGGCTGGGGGCTTGAGGGTCTGAGGCAGAGAGACCCACAAGGAGAGGAAAGGAGAGAACAGAAGATTCCATGGAGTAAGGGATTGTGAGAACTGGCCATCGGGGCTGGGCAGTCTGACTAAGAGCGGCCCAATGAAACATGGCAAGTCGTGTCTCAGGGTTATTGACAGGGAAATAGATAAAAAAGCTTAGAGGGTTGATATCTGCCCAGCACCAGTGCTGACTAAGGCTTATTATAAAGGTTTTGTGTCTTTTATCTGGGAACTAAGTGATCTAAGGTGGGGTAGAAACCCCCAATTAATTTTTTACTGCCACAGAACGGCTTAGCACTGAGCTCGGCGATCCAGACAGTTTTTTGATCCAGCAGGCTTGTCAACCCATTTGATAGATGGGGAAGTGGAGGGTAGCCCTCTACTGAGAACACCAGGCTAGTGAGCCTGAGTTCAAAGCCAGAGCTCTGTGTTTCCCAAGGTGGAAAGGGTTTCCATCTGTCCAGAGCACCCATCGGATGCTGGAGGGAGTCTGGCCATCAGAGATGAGGAGCCACCTGCCGGGTGTTGCTCTGATGTCTCAGGCTATGTTCCTTCTACTGTGCCCAGCCTCCCATTTCCCAGGCTGGGAGGGGTTCCGAGACAGTGGGATAACCGGTCACATCACCACCTACTTAGGGGTTTCTATGAACTCCACTTTTCTTCCCCCACAGCAGTTAACAAACCTTTGCCTAAAGTCCCATGGAGGGACACCGCAGCCCCCGTCTCTCAGAGCTGCCTCTGGGGACAAGGCTTTGCTATTGGAAGCTATAGCCATGGGGCCATTTCCCATGTTTGGGAACTCTTTGCCAGGTTTCCACCTTGCCAATAAATTCCATCCCTGTGGCCTTCAGGAGTCAACTGGGGATTCAGAAAACACAGGAAACCATATGACTTGGAGTGACAGAATTGGGAAGTCAGTAGGGGATTTTGCTGGGGCTCTGGAGAGATAGCTTCCTGGATATTTCAGGTAACAAAAAACAGGGGCTGGCGGGGCTGGTGCCAAAGTTATGCATCTAGCTACCATTTAGTGAGCGGTTACTATGTTCCAGCGTCTATTTGAGGAATTCCCACAGGCCAACTCAGATAATGCTTACCAACAAGCCTCTGAGGCCCTGCAGTTTTCAGTCTACAAGTGAGGAAACCAAGAAACAGAGAGGCACTTCATTTGGCTAAGGACACACAGCCTGTGGCCGATGCAGCCTGGGCAGTCAACTCCAGGTCTTCATCGTTAACCTTTCTCTGGGTCTGCTCATGTTCCACCAGAGGTCCTGGCGATAGTACCACCCAGAGAACCAGGCGCATGCTCATGGCCAAGGACAACAGGAGCACAAAGGAGACAAATCCATAGCCACTGACACCCAGCAATCAGCCCCAGCTTGCCTGCGGTGGCCAAGGCATCAGCGTCACAAGTAAGGTCCACATCAGTCACTTGCTGTCACATCAGACAAGACATCCCCAAGACACTAGAAATCTTGGCTTCCTCCTCCAGAAAATGATAAGAAATTGGTGCCAACTCCACAGGGCTGTGGGGATGCCGTCAGCTGAGCAGACATACAGAGTTTTTAAGGATCTCAGCACACAAGCTGGATGCAACCGAAACATCAGCTGATTGCTCATTTTTTTATTGTTAGATTCTTGTGGGAATATGTACGTGCACTTGGGAGTTATTGCCTGTGCACGTGGAGGCCAGACACGGACAACTGTGTTCTTTCTCCCCACTCTGCTTTGTGATACAGAGTCTCTCGCTGAACCTGGAGCTCACTGAGTCAGCTAGGCTGGCTGGCCAGTGAGCTCGGGGATCTGCCTGTCTCCTCCGTCCACTGCTCAGGGTTATAGGCATGTACTGCCACACCAGGTCCCCAGGTTTGCACAAGCACTTCACCACTGGGCCATCGACCCAACCCCTCTTTGTTTTTGAATGTCATTCACTCATATTCTATGTCTGTACCCCTTTTCCTTAGGAGCCGCTGTGAGCAGGTCAATAGTTGAGGTTCAATTCTTTTTGGAAACAGAAGAATGCATAAGACATTGGGACCCCCTCCTACACAATGATCCTTGGCTCACCCATCCTCCCCGCCCTCCATCCTGTCCTCATTCCCAGCAGAGGTTGCCGGTCTCACTAAAGGCAGCTTGCATTCTTTCTCCCCAGGTTTCCTGCTCCAAGCCTGTGGTCTCCACTGGCTGGATGCTGTTGCTATAGTAACAATAGCTTAAGAGCCTTAGGCTCCCCCCTCTGGGGTGACAGGAGTGGATGGAGATGGCTGATCAAATTCCTGGAGCATCCTCAGCCTTCTGGATGCAAGGCATCAGAGACGAATGCTAAATCTGAGCTGCCTGGGGCCTAGAGCCCCAAGAACTTCCTGAGGGAACCAACCTAGGTTTCGAGGGTCCTCTGAAATTCACGTGTTGGAAACTTGAGAGATGGAGGTAGAAAGGTCACAAGGGTGCTCACTGTCCTCCTGCAAGATTAATGTGGGAGTGGCCTTCTCATAAGGATGTGTTTGACCCTTCCCCCCCTTCACATAAGCTCCATCTATGGGTGACGCTTGCACTGAAGAAGATCCTCACAAGAGATAGCCCCTTGACCTTGAACTCCCCAGACTATAGAACTGTAAATAAAAAAAAAAAAACCTTCCATTGTTTGTAAGTCATACAGCCTGTGGTAATCTGTGATAATAGCAGAATAAACCACAACCACCTGGAAAACACCCGAACAGGTGGCCCCAGGTTTTAGTGTGTCTACAGAGGGGATGTCAGTCCCTGGGCATCCTTCTTACAATCATCTTCAGTGGTGGGTCTGAAGCAGGCAGACCTCAGGCTATGCTTAGAGAAATCCAGATTCTTAGAGAAGATTCTTGAAGCTATTTGGGGGCTGAGATGTCTCCTGAGGCACCTCATCCTCCCAAACATGACTCAGGCTTTCTCTCTCTCCCTGTCTTATCCTCACTGGTGGGAGAATAGCTATCCTACCCTTCTCCCAGGGCTTGGAAAACTCAGCCAGGGCTGCCAGGAGGCCGTGTTGGTGAAGACTGATTCAGAATCTTGTGAATACTTCCAACATGTCAGTACTTAGAGGTGGAACTAGGGGGCGCTGTTGAGCCTGTAAAAAGCCAGGTGCTGTAGATCTAGAAGTCTTTGTCCGTTGTACCCACCCTCACTTGCTTTCACAGACTGCACCGTCCCCTTCCACCATTGCCCCTGAGATTCAGCACAGTTGGTATTGAATTTGAGCAATGGAGATAACACCCCCTGGGAACTGGGGGTGTCTATGGATTGCACGGACAAGATTCTCTGTGGTTTCTTGGGTCTGAGCTGGGGAGGGGAGGGCTGGTCCCTGGGGAGAACTCTGCATCAATCAGTTTCTTCCTCTCCATGTTGCTGCCCTTGCCCACCAGAGCCAGCTCCTGGGAGTCTGAGTGCTGGGCTGCCTCCACCTCAGGTGGAAATCTCAAGAGTCTTGCTGCTGTCCTTGTGGTCTCCTGACAGCCTCAGCTGGATGGAACTTGCCTGAAAAATGCCCTTCATTCCCTCTCCCTGTCTACCCTCCTCCCAGTGGCTTCTGGGGTCCCTGCCAAATGCAGGGGTCTGTTAATCTGGGGCTCAAGACAAGAGGCCCCTCCCACCATTTTGTTACCCATGTGAACCCCAGGTGGCAGTTTGGCCTGCCTAAGGACAATTCTTTGACAAGGTGGCCCCAGCCAGCCTTGCCATATGAGACTCTGCAGTCACAACCCTCAATAAAAAATGTTCTTTTATTGAGTCTGGATTCTAATTCCCACACACGCTATTCTGTGTGGGTAACAATCCATTGTCTTGGAGTTTTCTGAAGCCGGAAGGAAGATGGTCCTCCTAACACTGCCCCACCGCCATGTTTGAAGGGGTGTCATGGGCTCTGAAGAACCTTTCTGTCCATCCTATCCCAGGCCCTGGAGCTGGTGTGGTTTCAGATCCAGTTAGAGGGACACAGGAGGGCTTGTGTGGGACGAGTCCTCCAGGGATGTCTGTGAGTCCGTCCCTTCTGAGGAAAAGCTGCCCCCAGTTGGACCGGAGGCCTTGCTCTGCTTGGGAAGGTGGGGCCAGGAGAAGAGGGAGGTGAGGACCCGCTCCAGGGTGGGATCAGGGAGCTTAGGGGTACCCTTAACTTCCTCAGCGTCCACAGACTGGCCAGGTTCTGGGGATAGCAGGCTTTCCCACATGTTTCTGCTCTGCTTCCCCTGAGGGGTTCGGGGAGACCGTTGGGATTTGAACACATGATCCACAGCCAGAGAGTCCTGTAGAGACCTGTCCCATTTGTAACCCACTTCTCTAGGCAGACCCTGACCCTTAGTTGCTGGCCTGCTTCGGTCTATGTGTGCCGAGTGGGCAGCAGGAACCTCTGGACATGGGCAGTAAGCTAGTGCCTTCCTCAGCAAGCTCTGGATCTCCTGGTGTCGCTCCTGGGCCTCTTCCCATAATTCCTGACCCAGGCCAGGCTGGCTCAAGGAGGCCACCTGGAGCTTCATGGCCAGGAGTTTCTCTGTCTGGAACTCAGAAGCCAGGCGTTTCAGGTAGCAGTGGAGGCGGAGGTGGAGCTTGTCCCCGGGGCTGGACTTCACAGCCTTGCCCAGCCTGAGCTGGGTTAGCAGGTTCTGGCAGTCTGTGTGGAACCGAGACATCTAAGGACAGGAAGAGAAAAGAAGGTGGAGGCTCCGTAAAAACGATGAGTCTCTGAGCAGGGGCCTTTGAGACAGTGTAGCTGAGTGAACTGACATGCACAGCCTGCTGACAATAATCTGCTCACTTCGACGACCATTATCTGGGCTGGGCTCCATGTAGCTGCCCCTGCAAATAGCCTCTAGCACCCTCAGGCTCTTCAGGCACCTTCTAACAGATCCATGGGCCAGCAGGGCATTCTGTAAAGCAAGAGCTACAGAAATGACCAGGAAAACCCTCTTTAGACTGAGAGCCGGTATGGGGAGAGGACTCAGTGGGTAAAGTGTTTGTAGCACAAGTGTGAGGACCTGAGTTCAAATCCCCAGAACCCATGTAAGGCTGCCTGTTGGAGCTTACAACTGTAATTCCAGTGCCCATGATATGGAATGGGAGGCTGAGGCAGGGCAACCCCCGCCAGCTCTAGGGCCAGCAAGCCCAGCATGCTCAGTGGCAAATGACAAGACACTGTTTCAAAAAATGTAGAAGTCAAGAAGGGATACCTGAGGTTATCCTCTGACCTCCAGAGGCACATGTCACACACACACACACACACACACACAGGGGGGGGGGGGGGGAGAGAGAGAGAGAGAGAGAGAGAGAGAGAGAGAGAGAGAGAGAGAGGGAGAGAGAGGGAGAGAAGAGAGAATAGACAGACCTGGTGGAATAAGACTGTCCTGGCTACTCAGAAAGTCAAAGCTAGAGGATGATCCATTCAAAGCCTTCCTGGGCTAGAGAGCAAGTTCAAATCTAACCTGGGCAACTTAAGAAGAGCTGTCTCCAAGTGAAAAGAGACGTGACTTGGTGGTAGAGCATTTCCCTTGAGACCTTAGCTTTAATTCCCTGCCTGGAAGGGGAGGGGGGTTGGGGGTAGGGTGGGGAGCTGAGACACTGAGGGAGGAGCATCGCTAAGACATCCAGAGTGTTTGGCTGGTTCCATGAGTGTCCTGTGTCTCTACTCTGAGCTGCTTTGCAGCCCATTTCACAAAGTGGGAAACGGAGGCTCAAAGCACTGAAATCACTTGCCCCAAGTCACACAGTGCAGCAAGGAGGAATGGAATCCCATCTCAGATCTGGTCTGCCCCTATAGTTCTGTTCTTTGCACCCATAGAACAGCTGGCTCAGGCAAGGGTGGGCGGTCAGCCCAGCAGGCACCACAGCTGGTGCCTCTGACCATCGTGTGATTCTGTCTTTTCCTGACACCCTCCCCATCCCACCCCCACAACCCTCTGGCTTGCTACAGTAGCTCATGCAAAGGATAATCTTTAGGACCAACAGCATGCCGCTGACCAGGGGACAGCAGAGCTATTTGCTGCGAGGAGATGTCTTTCTGTGGATCAAGGGAGCTTGTTTTTAGATAAATGGCTTCATATTCACGGTAGCACTCAAAACTCATGGTACCATAAATCTCCCTTAGCGGTGAATCTAATTAGGATTATTCAGGGCAGAAGGTCCAGCGCCTGGGCGCCCCACCTGGGCAGAGTCCTGTCTGTGGCTCCATCCTCTTAGCCAAGCCTGACAGTCATGTCCAGCGACTCAGACACCATATCCAACTCCTCAGTCTCATGGGGAGCAGTCAGAGCATCAGTGTCCAGCCTTGATCAAACTGCCAGAGATGGACAGGGGGACGGTCAGGACTGCCCCCTTCCATGATGCTGTTCCAACCTACGATGGATGCTACCTTTTCATGGGCTCAGCTTGTCTTCTTCTCTCTCCCTCCTTTTTTACCCATCTCAGGCTGACCCTCTACAGACACCAAGTCTACACCGTGTGCACGCCCAGTGCCCAGGGAAGCCAGAAGAGTGTATTGGATTCCCTGGAACAGGAGTTATGGCCTGTTGTGAGCCACCATGTGGACTCTGGGAATCAAGCCTGAGTTTTCTAGAAGAGCAGCCAGTGCTCACAACCACTGAGCCTTCTCTCCAAATCAAATTTGCTTCTCCTACCATCCGTCTGGGAATACATTCAAGCCCAAGGTCTGGGTTTAAATTGCAGCACTGCTACCTGCCAGCTGTGTGGCTTTGGGTGAATCGTCTAACCTCTCTGTTTTCAGCATGGGGTTGGTGTGACAATGATTAGCACAGAGCCTGGTACTGGAGACCCAGCACCAGCAGTAGCCACTTTTATTATCATCAGAAGTGGAAGCTGGAGCAGTGGGGGCAGCTGTGGAGGTCTCCCACAGTCTACGTGGGCACAGGTGACCCATGTTTCTGAGTCCTGGACTCAGCCCTCCAGTGCTCTCCATGGCGGGGGAGGGGGAGGGGGAGGATGTCCCTTCACTGCCGCTGTTCACATCTGCCTGCCTTGTCCCCAATCTGAGGAGACAGAGAAGCCCTGTCCTCCGGGTCCCCAGGCATGCGTGAGTTGTCTGGATCCCTCCTACTGTCCTCTGAAGCATCCCCATGTTCCAATGTGTCCCTTCAGGCCCAGCCAGCCAACAGCTGGGGGGTGGGGTCAAGCTCCTCCCACGCTCTGTCCCTCTTGGCAAGTTCAAGGGGCAGCTGAGGGCACAAGGCAGTCATGTGGCTTCCTGTCCATCTGGGTCCCAGTCCTCCCAGCCTGCTTTTTTTGTTTGTTTATAGACCTCAGTTTTTCTATTAGAAAAATGGGGGTGGTGGTGGTGGTTATGTGGATTTAGGAGGTGAAATTTAAAAGTCAAATCCTAATCAGCCACTGCTTAATCCTATCTGAGTAGCTGACATCTAGGCCTCGGTTCCTTGCCTGTAAACTGGGCGCAATGCAGGTGGCCCTGAGTCACCCACAGGTGTGAAGTACTTACAGGCTGTGCCCTCAGGCAGGCGTCCCTTCTAACTCAAAAACTTCCACCTTCCCCACATCTACTCGGATAAGAGAAGCCTCGACATTCCGTCTCACTTGGGGAAGGACCCAGGACCATCCCAGATCACAGCTGCCTCCAGCTCAGCTTCCTCTCCCCTCTCCCCACTGTGGAGACGACTCTCACAAGACGCCTAGTGTTGTGTCCAGGCTGCCGGCCCCCACCCCCTGTGCCACCTCGACCTTATGCCACCCCAGCGGGGAGGATGGAGGTTTGTGCTGATGGCCCAGGAGGCTCACTCACCTTCCTTCTGAAGCGGTGGAGATGGAGCAGGGTCTCCAGGTCAGTGCGCTGCCTCTCAGCTGCCATGTAGAAGTGTGTCAGCCTGGCTTGGAAGGCCTGTTGGGTGGAGGTGAAGGCCGCCAGGTCTGGGAGCTCTGTCTCACCTGCCCCTTCCTCTGCAGCTCCCAGCTGGGCCGCCTGCTTGGACAGTTCCAGGCCCTGGCGGTACTGGGCCTGAGAAGGAAAAGAACACTCAACTCCTACCTGAGGATCCACCCAGCAGTCAGGAACCTCCAAGGACCACGAGCCTCAGTTTTCCTCAAAGCTCAGCCCACGGCCAAAGGCATTGTCACACATCCAACAGTCCAAGCCTTTACACTGGAAGTTTAGAGTCTTCTGGAAGGTTCTGTGACCCTCAACAGCCCTCTCTGCTGTGTCCAGGCTAGCTCCATCCTCCAGTGCCTAGAGTTCCCTGAGAGCTGTGACAGCCCAAGGTCTCCTATGTCATCGCAAATGTGATATCCCTGACCGTCTTTCTATGCTGACCCAGCAGGCTTAGGTCTGGAGCCTGGAACCTGCATTTTAAGAAACCATCAGGAGTTGTGACTTTTTGGTACTTGATCTTGGAGGACTTCCTGGAGGAGGCAGAACCTAAGATGATGGCTCTGTGGTCCAGGCTGCTCCCAGCTACCCCTCACATTTTCCCACCCCTGTATCCAAGACCTAGCCGACCCCACTCCAATGCCCTCTTGGCAACTTGGGTCTTAGAACATACCGCAACCTGCAGGAAGAAATCCTCAAACTCGGCATGGACTTTCTCTACTGTCTCCGCACATATATCCACAGGAGCAAATGCCTGCAGACACTGGCTGCCTTCTCCCCCCATCCAGTCACTGACCTGGGCAGGAGACAATGGTTTAAGTGTGATGGGGGGATTGAGGCCACTAACTGCCTACTTCCTTGTGTGTGTATACATGCATGGGTGTGTGCATGCATGTGTGTACATGTGTGTGTGTGTGTGTGCAGGTATGCATATGTGGGTGCACTTATTCTATATAGAGGTCAGAGGTCAACCTAGGTATTCTATATAGAGGTCAGAGGTCAACCTAGGTATTCTATATAGAAGTCAGAGGTCAACCTAGGTATTCTATATAGAGGTCAGAGGTCAAACTTAGGAGCTGCCCACCATTTGTTTATTTATTTATTTATTTATTTATTTATTTATTTATTCTGATACGGGGTCTCTCACTGGGCTCTGGGATTCACCAATTACGCTAGGTCTGGCTGGCCAGTGAACCCCAAGGCTTTCGGCCTCGGCTGCCTCTGCTGCTGTGTTAGGCTGCCAGTGCACACCAGTGTGCCCAGCGTTTTATGTAGGTTTTATGGATCAAACTCAGGTCCATGTACTTGTGTGGTGGAGCACTTCACTGACTGAACCTTCTCCCTGACCTCTCGACCTCTCGACCTCTTGAGAGGCCAAAGTCTTCTTGTCCTCAGCCAGTCATGGGCCTGGATGGAATGCCGGGCGGGAGAGCCAGGAGGGAAAGCATGTGACTGCATTCTGCAAATGTCAGAGGGCAATGGCCTCACTCAGCTCAACCCAGAGGGGATATGTATGGTTCTGTGAGTGCCCTGCCCCTAGGTGACCCTCTGTCTCTAAGGCTGTAGGAGGAAGTCAAAATGACCACTTACAGTCACCTGGTCATAAAAGGTCTCTGGGGGATGAGTTCCCTGTCTTAGGGGTATGTAACTGGGTCTGGAGAAACACCTGACAGTGGCAACGAGTCTCCCAAGAACTCACTGTGTCACTGACGCCCCTGGCTTCAGTTTAATGTTGGTAATGAATAGGCATGAATAGTCAGTGATGGTTAGGGCTAACTCTGAACATGGCAGAGTATAGGATCAGCTGGGAGACTAGCCCCTGGGGCTTATCTTGATTTTGGTGACTGCAGTGGGAGACACACCCACTGTGGGTGGCACTATTCCCTAGACTATGTATTCCTGATGATGGATGTGATGTGACCAGCCATTCAAGAGTCTTGTCTTCCCCACCATGATGCTTTTGTCAGAGTATTTCATCATAGCAACAGGAAAAGAAAATGAGGTATTCTTGCTCTGGGGACACTGACAAGTTCCTATGAACTTATTATGTCTTCACAAAACTCAAGGCTAGAAATGAGGGTGCAGAGGCTTGGGCAGTCAGGTGACCTGGGGGCACCAGAGTCAAGACTAAGTACCCAGCAGGGATGAACCTGGCCCGAGACAGAGAGGGCTGTGTTGACTTTAGTTACTGCAGTCAGGTGAAGAGGTTAGCAACAGCTCTAGGCTCAGACTCCAGATGTGCAACCACACCAAACACCAAGCCTCCCAGCATGACACGTTAACTCTGGAACATAGTGACCCCTGTAAAATGCCATGTCCCCTGTAGCCTCCCCATTACCTGATGGATGGCAGTTTCCAGGTGACCCAGGCGGACACGGAGCTCTAGCCTTCGGAGGAGCTGATTGGACGCAGTGACTAAGTCATGAAGCTGACCATCCACAAGGTTGTACAGGGCAGCAGCCTCGGTCAGATGGCTCCTGGGACAGGGAAGAGGGGGAGAAGATGCTCTTCTCTGTGATCTCATCAGGCATGGACCTGCCCTCCTAATCTGTGGTCCTAGCTGAGCTGCTAGCCACCGACTTGCTGTGTGACCTAGAGCAGGTCCCTAGCCTTCTCTGGGTCTCAATGGCAAACCCAAGGGTGCCATAGGAACTAAAATGCTTCCTCTCTTTTTTGGCAGAGTATTAAGCCAGCTGGGTAGATCTGAGTCTGAATCTCAGCTCTGCTACCTGTTAGTGTGGGTCCTTGGGCAACATCACCACTTCGTGGGGTCTCTGGCTCTCTATCTGAAAGGTAGGGATAGGAACAGAACCCACTTCTTGGAGTGTTTGTGTGCAGAGTGATCTGAGCAGGGGCTTCTGGAAGCCCAGCACCCACATTCCACCCCATGCCGGCATGAGGTCTTGACCATGGAACTTTCTAGTTCTGCTTAGGAGGTTCTGGCCAGCCTGGGAACCTTCTCTCTTTCATGAGATACATTCAGTGGAGTGTCAGGCACAGGAGGCTGGGTGACGCTCACACATCTGCAACATTCTATGTTCCCAGTCTCCATTCTGCAGGGAACAGGTACAGAGAGGGTGACAACTGTAACCTGTGATCATCCTTTGTCTCCGATAGAGACTCAGGGTGAAAGGCTGGCTTCAAATTCCTGTGTAGCCAAGGATGGCATTAAACCTGGGGCCCGCCTGCTCTGTAAGGCATTTTTAAATTGGCCAAAGCCAGAAGACCTAAAGCAGCTAGTGAGGGTTCTTCTCCCGTGGCGATGCTTGGTGAAGGGAGAAACCTGGAGTCTCCCACCCCTCCCTGGGAAGCTGGTTTTCAGACAAAGATGATGGAAGGAAAGGCTGCCTTTTCAAGGGACCCCAGTCACGGATCCTACATCAGAAGAAAGTCCAAAACTCTTGAAGGAGGAGCGAGCCACGAGGGCTGCAGAGATGGGTACAGAACAGTGAAGCACCGCGGTGAGCGTGGGACCACAGCGCCCCCTGGTGGAATTCCAGGTCAAAGGTCCGGAGGGACCTCTGGTAATCTAGAGGAGCTGGGCGAAACAGATGAGGCAGGGGCACGGTGGGTAACAACAACAGGGCATCGCGAGGGGCGGGAGATGGCTCATGGTTGGCACTAGGGTCCATTGCCATTCCCGATCCACCTGCATGAATCCGGCGTCTAGAGATGTAGCTCAGGGTGATCTGTTCTACTAGCTTCTATCGGATTCCTGGCCCCACCACGGTCCAGATGTGTGATCCTAAGATACTCAGCCAACCTCTTCTAAGTCTCAGGTTCCTCTGCTGTAACTAAAGGATTCACCTCACAAGTGGGAATTAATGAGTTAATATTTATAATGACCTAGAGCAGTGCACATATATACATGAAATGCTAGTTCAGTCCGTAAGTTGTTCTTAGTTGTGTGCACAAACTTAAGGCAGGCCTGTAGAGTTAGCTTCCCAGCTGTCCCAGCCTTAGCTCCTTTGGGCTTTTCCTTATTACTTCCCCCTGTTCAGCCTCAGTTTCTTCTCGCCAAATAAAGGTGGCATGAGCAGACCAGGTTCTTGCCAGGAACAAATGAGACAAGACTTTGAAGGGCTTGGACCAGAGTCTGGGGTGGAAAAGGCTTCCCTGGACTCACCCTAAGCACTCTCGTCACAGGGTGGCCCTACTTCTGAACTCTGACTGGGAATGAAGAGGGGAGACTGGGTATCTATACCTGACATCAGGGTTAGCATTTAGCCCGCTGGCCTCCTGCTGCAAGCTGGCCAGAGTAGTTCCTCCTTCTCTCTGGAGAGCCAGCAGGCCCGGGTCCCTCAGCACAATCTCCATCAGCTCCTTGGACTTGCTCAGGCACCTGGTAGCCTCCTGCCAACAGAGGGAAGTGGTCTTCGGCCCAATCTCCTCTTCCCACCTTGCAGGGATCCCCACAGAGAGAGAGCCTGACTTTCCCAGCTGAGTCCAAGCATCTCCATCTGTCCTTCAGTCTCTAGCACATCTTCTGAAGCTATGACCCTCCTATCACCATGGTAACCTCACTGGTTCTAGCTCTTTTCTCTGCAACACCTCCTGGGCTCTTGGTTGAGCTCTCTGATGCCATCTGGTTTTCTCTGTAGCCAAAAGGAGGACATCAAAGGGCATACCCCATAACCCCTGTTTAAAGCTCCCCTGTGCTTCTCTGCCTCACTCCTGGGCCCATTTCTTAGAGATATGGTTCTTATCCTTCCCCCTCACTCTGCTCCACAGACGTGCAGCTACACTCCACCTCAGAGCCATTGCACATGCTTGTCCTCTGCCTGGAGTTCATTTCCCCTCACAATGTGTACTATCTTCCTTCCCTCCCCTCCCCGCTTTTTTCTTTTTCAGTATGGACTGCCATGCATGCTAGGCAATTGCTCACCACTGATCTACACTCCCAGTCCCTCATAACTAACCTTCTAAATGGCCACTCTGCCACTGCCCCCTGACCCTCACCAGGGCTCAGGCCAGCCAGTTCCTCAGGCTGGGTCCCCAGTGCAGGGTGCATGGTGGATGCCTAAGAACTACTAGCTAAAAACTAATTAGTGAAAAGCAGAGTGCCCCCCCTCCAGTGTTCCCTCCTGGTGTGCTTGGTACTTAGAGCCTGAGGTGTGCTGGTAGGTTCCCCACCCTGTATTCTGAGTTTACCTGCACCCCACCAGGGGGGTCACCCTTCTCAAACTCATGGATGGAAGCCTGCAGCAGGGATGAGACCTGGTGAAGGTCATTGAGGAACGGGTCCAGCTTCTGCAAGGACAGGAGCCAGAGCGGAGTTCAGCCTGAGGGAACCAAGAAGAGATGCCTTTCCCCAGGGGACCTGGGAAGGGACCAGGCAGCACTTCTAGAACTTACACTACATCAGAACCATCAGGAGAGCTGGTGAAAGCACAGCTCTGGACCATGCATCCCCTTCCCCATGCCCTGCTCTTCCTCCCACTTCTGTCCTCTCCCACCCCAGCTGAGCCAGTGCTGGGGCCTCTCAGTGTCTGAGAACATCTACCAAGTCTCCAAGTCACAATGTTGCTTCTGCAAGTCAGTACGGTCTGTAGTGGGAGAACGGGAGCCGGAGGAGAAAGAGGACAGGCCTGAGCTGTTCACAGACCCTGGGGGTCCTTACAGAAGGGGTAGGATGCAAGTGTGAAGGTGGGCTAGAGAAGCACCCTTGGCCTAGTTGGGCCACCAGCTAGCTGTGAGACCAGAGGTAAGTTCCTTAACCTCTCTGGGCTTCCCTGGACTTCTGAGAGGTGGAAACTACAGTACATGTTTTACAGCAGGATGAAGGGTCGATGGGCTAATTTGTGTATAGGATTTAGTATAGAGCTCAGAGCTTGCCACAATCATGATCATCATTGGTTTTACACTCTGGACCACCCAGTGAGATTTCCCTTAAAGGGACAGCCTGAACGTTGAAGTTCATAGGTCAAGGGGTTAATGAGAGGGAGAGGGAACCTGGGACCCGGGAGCAGGACATGCCACCGAAATATGAGTACATGCTTCTCCTTCTCCTCTCCATGTTCAGGTGGGTGATTCCAGGACACCAAGGCCAGGATCCCCAAGACCCTGTGCTAAGTGTCCTGTAGAACCACACACAGTTCCTGGGGACTAGAAACTGGCTGCTGATAACTCAGGTACCTGATGCCAGGTAGAAGCTGCCCTGAAAGCTACACTGATTCCTTTCTAGACTAGTAACACACGGAAGTCTGCAGAGGGTCCCAGGCATCAATGCCTCCTTCTCCCACCTCTATTTTTGTTGTTGTTTTTCTTTGTTTGTTTAGTTTTTTCTTGGGAGAGGGATTGTGTGTGTGTGTGTGTGTGTGGTGTGTGTGTGTGTGTGTATCTGTGTGTGTGTGATCCAGGGGATGTGTCATGGAGTTGGTTCTCCCCTTCCACCTTTGCACAGGTACCAGGATGGAACGCAGGTCACCAGGCTTGCATGACAAGTGCTTTTACCCGCTGGACCAGCTCACTGGTTGCTTTCTCTGGGTTTGTTTCTTTAGTTTCTTGCAACAGGGTCTCTCATGTAGGCAAAGGTGACCTTAATCTCTTTGTCCTCATGTCTCGGGTGCTGAGATGGATAGCAAACCCCTGCCACTGTGGCAGCTAAAGACTTTTGGCCTGATGGTTGCTGAATCCACAGTTACGCCGCACTCATCAGGACATGAGGGTGCAGGCCTGTTACCCCGATACTTGGGACTCAGAGGGGGAGGAGGCTCTTGAGTTTAAGGCCAATTGGACTACAAAGTAAGTCAAGAATATATGGCTACGTGGCCTGAGCTATGTGTCTAGACCCTGTCTCAGACAAACAGGGGCTGGGCCTGGAAGTTCAGAGCACAGCACTTGCCCAGCTCACTTGGGGCCTGTGTTCCACATCCCAGGGCCACTGACAAGAAAAAGCAAACAAAACAATTCAAAAAAGATCTCCTACACAAACAGCAGATAACCAGCCACCTGTCAGACTGTCCAAGGAGACAGGAGTTCTCCATGGAGGGGTGATTTTGCCCCCAGCCCTGGCTGGAAGTGGTTATAATTTGTGGGGAGAGGCAGGGGGCTGTTGGTCATGCCACAGTGCAAAAGGAAACTCTAGACCCTGGCTGAGAGGTCCAGACTAGGCAGTGAGTGGAGGGGCCCTGAGCGGGCTTTCAAGATAGAGTATTCCAGAGGCTGCTGCCTCACCCCTCATGGCCTCCACCAAACCTGTGGGAAGGGGTCAAGGAGCCAGGAGCAGTTTCCTCCCCTGCCCTGTAGGTGGCAGTGCATACTAACCCACCATGTGTGGTGTGCCTGTGGCTCCATGGAGCCTATGCCCAGCAATCTGGTTTCAGCTGACAACAGCCGAAGCCTTTGAAGTGTGCCAGACACCCTTCCAAGCTCCCACTCACGTCAACTCAGTCCTCATTAAAATCCCATGGAAAGGTGACCTCATTACCCTCCCCGTTCCCCACTTTGCTAATGAGGAAGGCTCAGCTCAGAGAAGGTGGGAAACTCACCCAACATCACAGAGCAGAGCTGGACTGGATCCCAGCAAGCTGGCCTTAAGAGCCTGATGCCTTACTGGGGCTACTCTGTATATTCATGGTAAATGTTTGTTGAATGACTGTGTGTTCTTGAACCCCGTTTTTACCAGGGTTCAGGGACCCATGGGGCAGGGTGGGGAAGGGAAGAGGAGAACAAAGGGCTGGAGATGGAAGGCTCTGAGGTAGACACCTGGAAGAACTGTACCCACACCCTGTGGTGGTAGGGAAAGGGACCCTCCAGAGCCTCTGGCAACTGGCTAGGGTCCACGTGGCTTCTGAGGGCCTTCAGTGAGGTCACTACCTCCACCTGCAGAGAAAAGGAGAGACAGGAGAAACTGAGGACTCGTCCCAGGGATATAGGAGGTCCTGCTTAGATCTCTGTGCAAGCTCCACATCTCCCACTGAGAAAGTCCAGAGTGATGTTTTGAGCAGTGAGTCTTCTCTGGAAACTTTGATAAATCTTTTGACCCAGACCCTGATTCTGGAATGACAGATACAAGTCATACATACTACTGCTCCCAAGCCTGTGTTCAAGGCAGACATCATCAATCGACTGCAGCACTCATTTGTCCGAAACTCTTTCTCAACACTGCTGTCTCAGGGATGAAATGTATGTAGTTTTCACGCTGCTCTCAAATGACCCATGACAGTGTTGTTCCCTCCTAGGGGCTGATGGTTACCAAATCACAACAGTGTCCCTTGAGACACAGAGATGGCATTTGCCAGGCAGCAAGGTTTCAGGTTTGAGCTGGAACAGCTCCCAGTATGTAGGCTTTGGGTGGGGTGGACTGTGCAGGGATAGACTCATCTGCTCTCCCGGATGTTCCAGGGGCCATTCATAGTCAGCAGCTCCATCAGCCCCTCCAAGTAAAGAATTGCAGGACCCCAGCCCCCACAGGAACTCCTGAATCAGAGCCTACACCTCGATAAGATCCCCCAAGAGATGTTTCCATTCAGGTCCTACCACAGCATCCACCTACTAGCCCAGGGCAGGCTGGTCCTTGGATTTAAGAATTATTCTCAAGGCAACCAGTCTGGATGCTGGCGGCAGGTTCAAGCTTGAGAGGCAATGCCCAGCCTTCCCCGTGTCTCTTTTCTGTTCTTAATCAATGCTATTTTATTATATATGCACACAGTTGCCTCAGAGCACATGTGGAGGTCAGAGGACAACTTTCAGGAAGTGGTTCCCTCCTTCCACCATAGGTCCCATGTGTTGAACTCAGGTGGTCAGGCTTGACCGCAAGTGCCCTTACCCATTAAGCCATCTTGCTGGTCCCCATGCCTGTTTTCTAACCCGGAGGAAGGAGGCCTCCAGAATCACTTTCTGTAGCAGGCAGCGTTGGTGCCCACACCCACCCTTGTCGGGCAGGGTGCTCTCTCACAGTCCTTAAGTCTGCCACGTCTGAATCAATCAGGGGGGAAATGTAGAGAGAGGGGGTCCCAGAGCACCAGAGACTCTGGTTCTGTGTCAGGCTGTTGGGTGGTCTTATACCTAACCTATCTGTCAAGGAGACGGACTGCCTAGATGGAGTCTTGAAGGTTGATCTCCGCCCTGTGTACATCTTAGTCCTGTGGGAGTGACCACCAGGAACAGGTTGGGATTCCAGAGAGGTCACGTGACAATGTCTTCTGCAGAGAGGGAGGGGGATGGCATCCCTGGCAATTCTTAGGCTAGGGTACATGTTTTCAAAGTGGGGATTAACCATGCAGTTCTTCAGCCCTTTGTCCGGCTCTACTAAGCCAGGTCCCTGCCCCAGCTGCCCAAGTCTTTTCTCACCTGAACAGATAGTACAGGTAGCTGGAGAACGGATGCCTTCTCCCCCAGGAGGATCACTTTACTGATGGAGGCCGGAGCCAGAGCCTGTGAAGAGAGCTTCTTCAGGACCACTCTGTTTCCCTCTTCCTCTTGTGTCTTCCTCCCCGAGGGACATGCAGAGGCTCGGGGTGGTCCCCAGGTGGGGGCTTGTATAGGATGTTTAGAGTGAGCCTCTAGCCTCAAGAGAAATCAAGCCCAAGATGTACTGAAAGACTTCCTTGAGGCCTCAGTTTCCTCAACTATGACAAGAGGTCAGATGGCCAGGTATATCAAACCTTCACCTGCCCAGCTGTCCATACTGACTAGTCAAGATTCTTCTCTGTCAGAGGATTTATGCCGCCTAAGGCTAAACCAATCAGAGGCCTGTATTCCCCCAGAACATGGGGCTTGGTCGATGTGGACTTCTGAGCTGATCAGGACTAATGATACACTAAGAAACGTTTGTTGGGACTCCTCTCACTGTGTCCTGCTGGATTCTAGTGACTATGTGTCTTGCAAGCTAGTGGGAGCCATTCTGCCACCAAGTGGAAGTGGGGCCTTAAGAGAATGTCACCCTTCTAGGAGGAACTACACAGAAAGAGGGTTGGTGGAACTCTCTGAGGCCTTGGATGGAGCCCTACCCACAGCTAGATTCAACTCTTGACTCTTAGAACATGGGCTTGCCCTTTTAAGTGTACACTCCTGAAAGGTCTGATCCCACAGCCAGAAGAGACCAGGCCATACCTTCCTGCAGCTCTCTGTGGGACTGAGACTTATGACGCAGTCTGAGACTCGATTTTCCATTGCGGTTCCTGGCTCTTCCTTGTTCCCTGTCGTGCAGTATAGTGAGCTAAATCACAGGATGTAAAACTTCCCACAGCTCCTCAAACTTATGAAACTCTGACGTTTCTCCTGTTCCTGGGATTACTAGAGGGATTTGCTCTGGGGACTTCTCTGAAGAGACTCCTTTGCCCACCCCATCCCTCTCAAGGTGGTTCTCTCTCTCTCTCTCTCTCTCTCTCTCTCTCTCTCTCTCTCTCTCCCTCCCTCTCTCTCTCCCTCTCTTGCTCTCTCTTGCTCTCTCTCGCTCTCTCAGCCTCACTTTTAATGAACCTCCTCTCTGTATTTTTACAGGAAGCCCCCTTTCTCTTTAAGGTCCCTGTTGTGTCTGTCTCTCCCATCTTGCCCCATCTCTCTCTAAAGTTCTACCTCTCTCCGTAGCCCTGAGCCCCTTTCAGCCTAATGCAATGCATTTTCTGAAGGGAGCCATTCTGTTCATCAGCTTGCTTCCTGGGACTCATGGCTGCCGCTTTTAACCTCTCTATTGATATTTTGAACCAGCCAGCACTCTTTGCCTAGAAGCCTGGCTGCAGGGCTTTTGAAGTTGCCATGGAAAGACTCTGCCTGGGTTGTGTGATGCCAGCTGTAAGTGCACCAGGCTTGGGGCATGTCACAGTCCCCTGGGGACTCTCAAGACCAGCTAGACTAAGGTGCTCTACCTGGCACTCACCTGTATGCTCTGCAGGGCACTGACAAGACCAGGCTTCTGGGCTCCTTTCCTGGCATCAATCACCACCAGTAGCCCCTTGGCTTTATCTTCCAGCCTGAGGGTAGAAAACAGAAATCAGGTCCTTTAGGGCAAGGATGGCCTGGTGGGGAGATTGTTTAGAATTTACCAGCCCCCAGGTGTGGCTTCTGATCTATAGAGGGTGCACTAGTAACCCAACTTCCTTGACCAATGACTGAATGGTCATGTGACCTATCTCTTCCCAATGAGATGAGACAAGTTAATTAAACGGCTTCAAAACAATCGGTTTTCTCCTTTAAGGAGCTCCTTGAAGGTGGGAGGGAGCTGTTGGGAGGTGGGGGACAAGCAGGCGGGAAGAGAACAAGAATAGTGGCCAGCTGAGACAGCCATAAGGAAACCCACTTTGTATAATTACTGTAACTCATACAGCGTTGTGGGGATGTGAGGAATTCCAGGTCTCAGGGCAGACAACCAGAGGCTGTTCTGAATCTGAACTTAGCTGCTGTTGTCACCAGAGTGGGCGGGTTGGACAGTGGCTGCTTCTCAAGTCCCAGGCTGGTCCAGTTATAGGCCTAAGTCAAACATGAGTCCTTCCCTGACCCTAACCTAGGGCCCTCAGACTTTGAGCAGCAGGTAGGAGGGGTGTAGTGGGGGAGTAGGGGGTCTGGTGGGCTGTATGTGCCAGTCTGCAGGTCAAGGGGGTTCAGCAGACACCTGTAACTGCCTTCAAACGTTACACTACAAGTTTACAAGCACAGTGTGTGTGCCTCCGTGGGTATCTGGCCACATGGCCACATTGTTTTGTGACCCCCATCAACAAAAAGACTTTGTGAGGATCAGTGGGCTCACTAGTGTAACACACTCAGTTCCTGCCTGGAGCAAGAGGGGCATACATGCTTGCTATGACCGTCCCCAGGTGGGGAAACCGAGACACAGAGCAGCCAAGCCGTATACTGCAAGAGGAGTTGACATTGTGCATTCCGCTCATGCCAGTTGCTTGTGACCCAACCCAGACTCCCTGGTCATTGGGGGGACAGGGTGAGCCACAAAGGAGAAAAGTCAGTGCCACAAGGCCACAGAGCAAACTGTGTGGGGAGACGTTCTAGGGTTCTGTCTGCCACAGGGCCAGTTCTGCACAGAGATGGCGGCCATTTTCCACCCTGGCTTCCCAGCTGAAATCAACCCTCTTGGCTTTTCTGTGCCATAACAGTGCTTCTCAAAGACGTGTCCAGCCACATCACTGTCAGTAAGAATCTTACTAAAAATGCAGATTCTCAGGCCTGCTGACCCCTCTGGGCTGGGGACAAGTGTTCTGTTCAACAGCTCATCTATGACTTGAGCGCACCATCAGGTCAGAACCATGTCTGTGGGATGGTTCCCGTCTCACAGCAGCCCGGAGAAGGCCCTGGCTGCAGGGACAGAGTCCATCTGCCATCTCAGCACCTAGCCTGTGGCTGACTCTTTGATCATACAGTAGATGGAAGGACCTGGGGCCTCTCCATTACACACCCATCTGAGGGGTGAGGGTGGAGACGGTCAGGGTACGAGAGTATCCCCTTACCTAGGAACACTGCATAAGTAGGAGAGCAACTCGGTGACCTCTGAGGCAGTACACCATGGTGCCTCCCAGGCTTCCTTTGTGGTCGACACCAGAAGCAGTGGCCGCCCCACCTTGTCCCTACCACCTGAAGAAGAGAAGACACATGAACAATGGTGATTCTGGGAAGCCCTTCATGAGAGTTCACTCCTCTGTGACTCTCCAGGCCTTTGCCTACCCTGTGTTTCTACTGGGAAGGTCCTTTCTTCTCTTCCTTCTGTGCCCTCCAAACTCCTATTCATCCTCCAAAGGCCCAGCTTCAAAGCCCCTTCCTGAGAGAAGTCTCCCTGAACTCTTCTTCAGCACAGAGGGCCGCTCACTCATAGAGCTCCTCGAGGTTGCCTCTGTACAATGCATGCACCCCAGCAAACAAAGCCAGGGCAGTGAGCTCTGGGTCACAGGGACCAGTTCACATCCTCAGTTGCTGTGTGTTCCTGGGCTGGTCTGGGCATCTCTGAGCTTTAGTTTCATGTATCTGATGAGACAGATTTAGTTCTGGGTAGATGAGGTTTCTTTGGGGATTAAGTGAGCCAGTTCCTGAGAGTGTTCGACACTCAGCCAGGATCAGTGGACACAGCTGTGGTGAGTGGGAATCATCTTTGTCCCTGTTTTACACAGCTCACAGCTGTGTACTCCAGCTGTGTACTCTTGACAGGCCATTTCCTGTTCTAGGGATGGGGGCTCTGGGTCTCACTGTCCTCTCTGGACTCAGCATAGCAGGCAGGACCTTCCTTCATCCTGCTCTGCTTGTCTAGTGCGCCTCACCCTCCTATCCCCAGCTACTGAGATCCTCTGTCCCCCGGTCTAGCCAAGGCACCATTTCTGTATTCCTCATCTTCTAGAACTCTGGCCCTGGCCCAGGATCCTGCGATAAGCTCCCCCTACAGCTCTGCTGCCTCCTGGGATTGGCTCAGGCCAGCGCCAGAGCACAGAGGCCTGAGGTGTTGGCCAGGGCATTGAGGTTAGAGCAACACAGCTCTAGCCCTGTAAACCTGAGAGCTTGCAGAGTGCAGATGGACCCAGCAGCCCCGCCTGCCTGCTCTCCCTAGCGCCCACGAGGTGCAAGTGGAGTCAGTCCCTGCACGAGCTTGAGTAGCAAAGGGTCAGACTGGACATCCTGAGACATGGCAATCATGTGACTGGTGCCCGGCTCTGCCTACCCAGCAAATGCTGTCCGGACAGGAGCAGGACAATAGGCAGTGTCCCACATGGGAGGCATCACTGTCCACAGTGCTTTTCGCTGGACCAAGGAGATCCCCGTGCCCCAAACACTGCCCTTACCTGGTGGGTGGTATCAAAGATACTATCTGTAGCCCTAAAAGAAACCTTTCTGCTATTACCATGCTGGGTGATCAGTGTTACAGAAATAGGAATGGCAGGTGGGCTAGCCACTGAAAAATTCAATAAAGCATCAACAAATGACAGGGACACTAGCAGATGGCCCCTCTGGGATCTGTGGGTAGATGGGGCCCGGGAGACGTGGATATCCAGGAGTAGCGAGGTGGCAGGACAGTTCGTTCCCAAAGGCACAGTGGCCCTCTCCGCTCCTAACCTTTACAAGTGCTGTTCCCTGTTTTAGAAACTCTGTTCCCAACATGTACATGGCTAACTCCCATCACTACTAAACGGCTATATTTTTCATTACTTCTTCCAAAAGTCTTTCTGGCCTCTCCCATGGGAAGCCTGGGCCAGAGGCACTATCTGTGTTTTTCTAGTTCCAGGAGATTTCCTTTATGTTGGATTGCAATGGCCTGTTGAATTTTCTCTAACACTAGACTAAAGGCTTTGTGGGTGCAGGGATCACATTTGCTAACAGCGCTGAGTCTAGGGTTCAGGAAACAGTGATGGAATAGCTATGAACCGGGAATTTAAGATCTGCTGTAATGGAAGCTGTCACTAGGTGGTCCAAAGCCCCTCGGTGGGCTTGCTCCCCACGGGCTGGAAGGACTAATACTAGAGCCTCATAGATGCTTCCTTCCCTGAAGACTTGCCCTTAGCTGTACTAGCTTATTGGCTTGGCCAGCATTCCATTACAGAATCAGCCTGCAGTTAATGACTGACAGACTCAGGATCGGCCTGCAGTTAATGACTGACACACCCAGGATCAGCCTACAGTTAATGTCTAACAGACCCAGACGTTAAATACTGACGCCCATGCCTTAGCTGGCTAGGTGGTATAATCCATCCCTCGGAGCCTCTCCCAGAGCCCTGGGCATAGCCTTCTTCATCTTTCTCAGTCTGCCTTGCTACATTCTGTCTCTTTCTTGTGGAGCCTTTCCAAGAATGTTTATCTCAGGCTCAGCCTTGGCTGCCTCACCAAAGTCTAGATGGATGGATGGATAGATGGTTGGGTGGATAGACAACTGAATAGACTGGTGAAACTGCTTTCCTCTAACCCAAGCCTTTGGCCGGGAACTCTGCGGCCTCCTGGGCCTTCCCCCTCTTTCCTCACCAGTGTCTGGGAATGCTCTGCTACCCCCCCCCACACCCCTCTCAACCCTGGGACCTGGCAGGCAGGCTATCCTGGAGTGGAGAAGCTTGGCTCCCAGAGTCCCAATCCTGGGCTTAGGCCTAGAACACTCCTCCAGGCGAAGTCCTCCTCCTGGGGGACCTGCAGAATCTCTCCGGAAGCCAGGCGGCTCCCCAGACAGCGTGCCTGAGCCAGCTGTTGTAGGGAGAGCTGTTCCATCTGGGAAGAAGAATGACAAAGCAGGAGTTATTACACAGGACACAGATTTTTCAAGGGACAGCGTTTTCTCTCCCACCCAAGTGACAACACAGCTGATAGCATGATCTGCTCTCTGCCAGCGATGCTAAGTCCTTTCCTTCTGGCGTATCTTTGAACCATCAGAGCATCTCTGTGATGTAAGACCCCAGCAGAGAAAGGGGCTTAAATTAAGAGAGGTTAAATGTCTGGCCAAGGTCACACAGCATGACCCAAAGCTGGAATGTGAACCCAAACAACCCAGTAGTGTTGCTCAGCTCGACACTAGTGAGATGTCTTCAATCCCTTGAGACTGGGACAGCACTGTCGCCCCTGTGCCTCACAGCCCGAGCCTCCTACACTGGGATAAGCCTGGTCCTTGCCCTACTGAGTGTGGACTCTTACCTTTGCCTAGGGTCTTGGCTCCACAGGGCTGCAGAGAGTTGAGGGGGCACAGGGCCTTCCAAGGCCTGGTATGCTGGAGTAGGGTCTTCTCGGGGGTCACAAGGGGTGCCCTCTGTTCTTTCAAGTAGGTGAACTGGATACCAGGAGCTGGGGAGCCATGAAAGGAGGTGTTCTTACTGAGGCAGTCCTCAGGCTTAGAAGCTCTACCATGTCCGGGTATGACCTCCTCTGTCTTTGTCTCAGATGCTGGGGCTACAGGGCCAGCTGAAGCCAGGAGGGGAGGGAATGCTTGTTGTGCCCCAGGCCTGAGCTGGACTACAGCTTCTGGCATTCCCAAAGGCTTTTGCATCTTGGAGGCTGCTGGTTCTTCTTCAGTGTCTTCCACCAGGCCAGAGGTACAGTCCAGCAACTTCTCTGGGACACTTGCATGGGGCTGCTGTGTCTGTCCTACTGCAGTATGGCCAGATGCTTTATGCCTGGACTTTCTCCTTGAGCCCCTGCTACAGGGCTTCTCCCCTGAGCCTGCTGGCTTTGCACATGCCCATTCTCCCAAAGGAAGTGCCCCAGCAGGCCCCGAGAGAGGGAGGACCTTTCCAAGCAAAGGTGCCCCCTTAGTTCTGGATCTTGTCTCCTGTGTCCTTTGAGTGTCCAGACTGAATGTCACTACTTCGCTGACTGGAGATGCCCCTCTATACTCTGGGGGAAAGCCCACGAGAGCCACATAGTCCCCCTCCAGGCTCTGGCTGGCCTCACTGTCTATCCTGAAGGCCATCTGCCCTGGCCTTGCTGACTCCACCTTGATGAGCCGAGGATACTTGTCCCCAGACAACTTCCCTTTATCCTTACCGCAGCTCTGGGCCACAGACTCCTTGCTGCCCAAGTCGCTATCCTGGTATGGCTCCTGGGGGTTGCTCAGCTGGAGAGTATCTAGTGGACAGGAGTGCCCATCTGAGGAAGGGACCTTCACTATTGGGGGTCTGTCATCTACAAACTCTGGACTGGTAATCCTGGTCCAAGGCACAGGCGTGACCCCATTTTCTGAAGCCACGAGACAGTTGTGTAAGGGACGTCCCTCAAAGTCACTGTTGATGGCCTCCAACCATTCTGGGGTGAAAATCAGAGAGTAGGAAGACTCAGGAATCGGCTTCTTGTCTACCTCACGGAGGTCTGAGGAGAGACACTTGAGTGTCATGTGGACAGACTGCTCTTCCCAGGACTCCACTTGAAGGTAGAAATCACCCTGACGTAGCAGGAGCGGATTGAGTGGCGCCAGGTGTACCACGACCTCATCCCGGAGACACAACGGCCAGCCCTCATGCAGGAAGAGGCAGTGGGTGTAGAGGGCCTGCAGAGAGAGAGGGAGCATCAGAGAAACAGGCTCCAGGGGACCTTGGTTTTGGTCAACTTTCTTCCCTCTCCCACATGGGACCTCAAATAGCCAGTGACTAGGCAAAGGCTAGAGAGATGCCCAGACACAGGCACCAAAGAGCCCTTTGCTCTCAGAGTGTGTGGGGTCACTTGCTCCTACCCTCGGTAGGACCCTTGTTGACCTTGAATATGCTTGCTAGCCTCATTGCCTGAAGGGACAGCCAGTGCTCCAGGTACTAATCATCAGGTGCCTTCCATGGCAACCCTGCTTGGTTCACGACCCTTCCCTCCCCATCTGCCCCAAACTTCTCGCAACCCAGCTGGACCCTTAGCCCCTCCCCCTCAAAGCCATGAAGGCATAGGTCTGAGGTCTAAATGGGTTGTGTATACTTGTTACTGAGCTGCTCTGGGATTTGATTTCTTGATCTGCAAATTGGAGTTGAATAAAAAACACCGGTATTTCTGGGCTGGCATGAGATAAGTCGAGTATGGATGCAGAACAGCCAACAGGATCCTCGGGGAGGTTCAGAGAACATGAATTCACTCCCTTCTGAAAATACCTGCTTGTGTGCCTATGTGTGCATGATCAAAGCGACATCCATGTGGAGGTCACAGAATAAGTCTGAGGCCTGGCTTCTCTCCTTTCATCTTTGTGTGGGTTCCAGGCATCGACTTTGAGTCACCAGGCTTGGGTGGTGAGAACCTTTGACTACTGAGTCATCTTGACAGCTCCAGTCTCTGGTTTCTAAGCTGAGCGTTTAAAATGACACGAAGACAGTACTGAATGAGAAGTCGGGAAACTTGACCCTACCTTTGCCTTGCCAGACTGTCACCTTAAAATGGCCATTGCCAGTGTAACGTTCTGACATTGTTCTCTCTCTCTCTCTCTCTCTCTCTCTCTCTCTCTCTCTCTCTCTCCCTCCCTCCCTCCCTCCCTCCCTCCCTCCCTCTCTCTCTCTCTCTCTCTTGCCCACAGCAGGAGGGGTGGTGGTCCAGAGCTTCAAAGAGGCAATATGGATTCCCCATGTTCTCAGTGATTGAGTCTTGGTTTGAAGCAGAGAACTTGACCTCAAAGGACCTACTGTGCATCCATCTTTGCTCCTGTCTATTCTGAGGTGACATGAATTTGCCCATGACAGCCAACAAATCAAAATTAAAAATAGAGACACAGAAAGGCTGTGGATTTGCCACAGAGAAAGGAGGGGACAGCAAAGCATGGTTTTGACTTTTTTTCCTCTTAAGACAGGGTCTCGTGTAGCCCAGGCTGGCTTAGGTCTCAAACGATAGCTGAAGATGACCTTGAGCTTCTGATCCTCCTGCTTCCACCCGCTGAGTGCTAGCATCACAGGCACGCATCATCACCATTCCATCTAATGTGGATGAATGCAAACCCAGGGCTTTGCATATGTTAGGCAAACCCTCTGCCAACTGCGCTACGTCTACAGGCCTGCACTTGTGGTTTGGTCAGCCAAACAAAGTGACAGTTGTATGGCTGGTCAGGAGGAAAAAGGGGGGAGTGGGGAGGAGGATCTTCATGCATCAGGGTCAGGGGGTCATGGAGAGGCCACGGGCAAAGGCTTCTGGGAAATTGTCCATTCTACTACTCCCATTCAGGTGCAGTTGCCATGGGGGGGTTCCCATTAGATGCGGTAGCTCCTAGGATTGGCAGCATGGCTCTTGTTGGGGGTGGCAGTGGGCTCAGGGTAACTAACAATTGCTCAAGGGGCATTGGAAAACTTCTGAGGGACGAGGGCAGGGGGAATCAGAAGTTTGACTCCTTGGTGATTGCCTCACTATTGCCCTAAAACAGGAGAGAGAGAGAGAGAGAGAGAGAGAGAGAGAGAGAGAGAGAGAGAGAGAGA